CGGCTCGCGGCGGCTGTTGAGCCAGGTGAAGGAGTGGTTGCTGTACGCTGTTAGGAAAAGACAAGATGCATTGCGGCTCGGCCAACGTACGCTCCGGCTGACATGCGAGGGCACGACGTCGCGTCGCAGACAGCTGTTCCGTCATCCTCCTTCTCATGGACGACTCGGACAAAGTTCCAGAGATTACGGTAGTGCTCAACGACTAGATCGAGTCAGTACAGTAGTCTCGTTTCTGTGGATTGCATGCGACAGCCGTACCTTGGTGTGCAATCCACTCGCCCTGCTCTACCGTCTTGGGTCGGGCACTCAACGTCATGAAGTTACCCTTGACGATGTGCTTTGCGTAAGTTGAGTTCAGCCATAGGGGCAGAGGACGGGGTAGTTGATATGAGTCGAGGATTTCTTGCCCGGTTGCTGTGGCCTTGGCGGCGTCGTCTAGGCCAACACTCTGGGAGAATGATGGTGATGGGGGCAGGGGCGGCACCTTGGGGGCCAAGCTGGATGAGGACTGGCTGCCCTGCGACAGAGTCGTCGGCGACTGAGGAATTCCGGCACTCGAGGAGGTCGGGCTTCTACTCTGGGGTCCCGACTTCTGCGATGCGCCGCCGCTGCGAAAGCGCGCATTACTGTTTGAAGCCGGATTAGTGTCTGGCTTTTGCGGCTAGACGGAGGGCGTATGTCAAAGCGCCAAGAATCATGTGAAAAACGAAGAATGAGAGGAAGCACGAGCTCAAGTGTATGAAGGCGCGCCTACAACTTGAACAAGTGGACGAAATGAAGAAGCCAGAGGGATTGGTGCCACGATGCAGGGGCGAAGAGGAAGCGGCGTTGAAAAGCTGAGGATGGGAGTATACAGCACGAGGGTGTCTCATCAGTCTCCTTGTGATCCAACGTTTGCAAAGTTGAGTTTGCTCAGGATAGAGACTGGAGCAACAACTTAACAGATGTTACAGCTGTGAGCATCTGACCCTGAGGCCGTGATCTGGACGGGGACTTCCACCGTGAACTAGACATGCGAATACGGAAGCGATGCCGAGGGAAGAGAGAGTGTCAATTCCCACTTTCCTCCAAAGCCGATGACTAGGAACAAAGGAAGGAAAATCGGTTGCGACTCGCAGATATCTCGTGATAAACCACACGATTGGGGCCTTGAGATAGGGTTGCGAGACCGAGTGATTGGTCTGGTCGAGTCGTGACCTTGATTGTCGGCGTCGACACCTTGTAGATTATTCTTCCAAGGTCGAAGACTGTTGAGTGTCAAGGAAACTGATGAAGCAACATCTAGGTCTCGTTCGAGCTCATATGCGATCGCAGGCTCCATGGTGTGCCCCGCAGTGGTGTAGTCCAGACAAGGATGGCGGACGCGAGGCGGTGTGGCATGATCTCGATCAGTGGACGTTGTAGATTTTTGCTGATTGCAACCAGTATTGACGGCATGTACTGTCGTACAGAGCCACTGAGTGAGGGCGCCATGTTGCGTTGGTCGTTGATCTGGCAAAGGGCGGCATGGCCCACCGGCCGGCCAGTGAGGGGTAAATTGATGCCCACACGCTTGTGTGGACAAGGCCAGTTTGACCGAAGCAAAGCTCAGACGCAGAGCGGGAGCCTGTGCTCTCGCTCGCGTGATAGAACCCAGATGGGTGAAGAATATGAGTGAAGTGTCGGCTGAGATGCCCGTCATGTAGATGACGAGTCATCGGAGTAGAACGTGCCGTAAGCCTGACCTAGCTCATGGCGAGCCGGCGTGGATGACAAGGTGAGCATGGATAGAAGAGAAGAGACTTGATCATAGCGAGGGGGTAACACGGACGAGTTTGGACACACCCGCGGCCGACCGTGTAGTTGAGTATGTCACTAGAGAGGCTGGGCCAAGCCAACCTTGTGTGACATGGTATAGCTTCAATACGACTCTGCATCGAGCCAGCGCACTAACAGCTGGGCGGGCACGTCGTCGCTTGAGGCCCAACAACGCCACTTGGCAACCTAGGTCGGAGAGGAGAGAGCTCACAACTCATACTCGAAAAGCCGAGGGAGCCGGAAACGTCGAGATGCGAGACCATGAAACAGAAAGATACCCGGTACTCACATTCCGGAAAAGAGGTTCGACATGGTGATGAGGCCAGCAGCGGGAAGCTAGCAGAGCAGCTACCAAGGGGCAAAGTATCCAAATGAGGGCCCGAGGTACAGCAGCTAAGGGTCGAATATGCCGCACGTGGCGCCGAGGGACCGTGGAGGTTGGGACGGAGTTGGAATAGAACGGTTGGATGAGCCTAGGGCCCTGCGTATCGTCAAGGAGATGTCGATGCCAGCGCACGTGTTGTCGTCGAGGGAACAGGTATATGTGGGAAAGGGGTGACAGAAACCTGAGGTGAGGTTGAACTTGGCTTGGGTCACTCCAGGCAAGAGAGGGAGCGGCGACATGCGCTAAACCGTATCGGTACAACGAAGCGAGGGGTCGTGAGCTGTGAAGCAAAGCCACATGGATGTGGCTCAAAGGCACTTGGTGCCAGCATTTTCGTTATGCATGGGCTTGTGACCATGATATGATGCCTTGTGAGCATGAGGCCTCGTGGGAACGAAGCCTCAATCCTATCCAAGGAAGACCACAGAGGCAGAAGCAAGTCCATGACAGAGATGAGAGACGGCCATCCCGCCAGGACTCATCGTGCCAGACCAGGCGCCTGCGTCTCCCATGTGGCTCGTGCAGCCTCACCTGGACCGTGCTCACGAGTTTCTGGAGCTTGAAGTCAATGCCGTCCATCCACTGACACCAATCAAGACGGTGCCAAGTAGCCTCGCGCTTTCTTCCCTTGCACCTTGAGCTCTGACCCGAACTCGCTTGCTGGCGACCTCTTGCAAACGCGACTGCCATCATCATCAAAATCTTTCCTTCCGCCGACGACAAGAACAAAACGAAGAGCTTTTCACACTCCAAGGACTATTTTCTCCTCCCATCATGTCCGACACGGAAGATCTTGCCGAGATCCCTGAGATCCCTGAGGACGGCGCCGACGACCTTTTCGGCGATTCTGACATTGGCGACAACGACATTCTCCCAGCGAGCGACCGCGAGCTTAACTCGGACGATGACGAGACGCCCGCGAGACGTGCCGACGCAGAGGACCACGACGATGATCATTTCCACTCCACGCAGAACAACGTCGTCGAGGACGCGCAGGTGTCCCGCCATCGTATCCCCCAGCCCAAGAACGGCCAGGTTCGTGCCTACTGCCTGTGCACTTGTTTTCTTTTTCCATCATGATGGTGGTCGCTGACGAAAAAAAAACCCCGAAAAACAGCTCTCGTCTTTCCGCGTCCCCAAATTCATCTCAGTGCACCCCGACCTGTACAGCCGCGACACGTTTGCGCCGACGGAGCGCGACGTGCAGAACGCCAAAGCCGACAACCCCAAGGCCGAGGTGCGCGTGCGGCGGGACGGGGCGACGGGCCAGCTGCAGAGCAACACGCTGATCCATCGGTGGAACGACGGGTCGCTGACCGTGTCGGTGGGCGACGAGCACTTTGAGATCCACACCAAGTCGCTGGCGCCGGCGGCGGGGACGGCGTACCGCGAGGTGCAGGACGCGCACTACTACGCGGCGGCGCCGAACCTCAGCAGCAACCACTACATGATGGTCGGGCACGTGGCGGAGCAGTACACGGTGCGGCCGGGCCAGGCGATGGAGGACGACGCGCTGGCCAAGCTGGCGGAGCGCATGGCGGCGGCGTCGCGCGGCGTGCACGAGGGCGACATGATCATCAAGACGACCAAGGACCCCATGCTGCAGATCAAGCAGGCCGAGCTCGCCGAGAAGGAGCGCATGAAGGCCCAGCGCCGCCGCGAGACGGCCGCCGCCAAGATGGACGGGCCCCAGCGCTACGGCCGCGGCGCCGGCGGCGGCCTGTCGATTGGCGATCTCGAGGGTGGCCGCAGGGGCGGTGCCGGGCGCAAGCGGGCCGGCGGCGGTGCGCGGGAGAAGAGGCGGAAGCCAGAGTACGACTCGGACGATGATCTCCCGTCGGGCGCGCGGCGCGTGGGCGACGACTACGATCTCGAGGACGACTTTATCGCCGGCAGCGACGAGGACATCAGCGAGGGCGCCGAGGAGGATGAGGAGGAGATCCTCGACGACGATGACGAGGAGGAGGAGGAGGCGCCGCGACGCAAGCGCCAGCGTACTGCCGACGCAGACGACGGCGGCCACGAGGCTTCAGGCCGAGCACGACGTCGCCAGGTGATTGACGATGAGGATGATGAGGATGAGGACTGAGCATAGGGGCGTGGCAGCAGGGCAGCAGGGCAGCGTGGCAGCGTGGCAGCGTGGCAGCGTGGCAGCAGCACGCCATGTACAGTGTATAGCACAGGAACGAAAAAAAGTTTAGGAGTCCAAGGAAGCGATCGGGGTGTTCTCGTGGTTTCGACAGCAAGTAGCTTGAGGTTTCCTCGTCTTCACGTCTGACGAGACGTTGCATTGGAAGCTCAAAGGCACGATAGTCCAGGCCGATGAGCGCTACAATTTGACGGGCATTTTCAATTCCTGCGAGCCTGGCTGCGCTAGCTCGTCCAGCAGACAGCGAGTAGCCACTGGCAGAAACGCAAACCCCAAGAGCCTAGGGTTTCTGGTCACTGTGCACTGTAAATACAAATGGGGGCAGAGCATCATCACATGTCGGCCATGGGAGGCTCAGCAGCCAAAGCGGGGCGGTGGGGGAAGCATGTGCTGTAGCTACAGTGCCTACCTACCTAGGTACCTAGTACAGTGCTGGCCTACCTAGGTACCTAGTACAGTACCCAAGGTACTACCATGTAGGTAGGAACCAACAGCAGCAGCAGCAATCGTCAACAGCCTTGGAATGATGCAGCACCAAGCCACCTCTCGCATCCTCGGCTTCCCAAGGGCCGCGATCCTCGCTCCTCGTCTGTTCACCTCTGCACAAACTGTCATTATCCATACCCGAGAGTCCTATCAGATGGTCGACGGCACACCTGCTATGCCATCATGGGGGTAGTCCTTACGTTGGTGTTTGACGTGGTGCGCTTCTGGCACAGAGTACGGCTCCCTTCTCGTCCCCTGCCCCTCCTCGATCCCCATGTCCTTGGCTCGCCGACCCTGTTGACCACCGACGCCAACTGACACTCTCCTACCTGCAGAAACTCAAGGAATGGTACGCGCGAAAGAGCCCCGTCGAACTCTGGCTCGACCTGCTCCGCAACGCCGAGGCCTTTGAGGACTGGGAAGAGGCCGCCCTCCACCTCGACAACCTCCTGGGGCTCGACCTCTGGCGCAACAACCCGACGTCCAAGTACTACGACTACCGCCTCATCCACGAACGCCTCAACTCCTTCCTCGAGGCCAACGAGGACGCCGACGTCAACCACCTCGTCAACCTGCTGCGCTCCGGCCTCGTCCGCAACCTCGGCAACATTAGCTCGCCAAAGCTCTACAACCGCGCCTTCGCCGGCACAAAGTACCTCATCGAAGAGTACGTCACCCACGTCGCCGAGGCCGTCGACGATGTGACGGCCCTGCCGACGACGCCGCCCGCCGTCGAGTCGCCGTCGCGCAGCGGCACCGGCAACACTGTCAACAGCACCAGCAGCAACGACAAGGGACGCCCCCCGACGGCGACCATCGTCAGCGCCGCCGCCGCAACGCTGACGAACCAGACCAAGCTCGACTTCATCCACGACACGCGCCAGGCCTTTGGCCGCAGCACCCTCGTCTTCCAGGGCGGCGCCATCTTCGGCCTCTGCCACCTCGGCGTCGCCAAGGCCCTGTTCCTGCGAGGGCTCCTGCCCCGCATCATCACCGGCACAGCCACCGGCGCCCTCATCGCCGCGCTCGTGGCCATCCATACCGAGGAGGAGCTGCCGGCCGTGCTCAGGGGCGACGGCATCGATCTGTCGGCCTTCTCCCCCAAGGCCGCGGCCGACGACGGGTCCGTCGCGAAGCAGTCGTTTGCGTCGCGGTGGCAGACGCTGCTGCGGAGGGGCAGGCGGTTCTGGAAGGAGGGCTACTTCCTCGACGTCAAGGTCCTCGAGGACTGTGTGCGGGCCAATGTTGGCGACCTGACCTTTGAGGAGGCCTATAACCGGAGCAAGCGCGTCTTGAACATCACCGTGGCCACGGCTGGCCAGGGCGGCGTGCCGACGCTGCTCAACTACCTGACGGCCCCGAATGTGGTATGTTATTGGCTGTGATGTCCAGACCGAGAACCTTTGTCTCTCTTTTCTGATACTGACACAGACAGCTCATCTGGACGGCAGCCGTGGCCTCCAATGCCTCATCAGCAAGCCTCTACGGCCACCGCGAGACGACGGTCCTCTGCAAGGACGCCCAGGGCCACATTGTCCCGTGGGCGCCCGCCAACACAATCGACTTTCGCCACTGGACGCACGTGTCCTACTCGGAGCGCGAGTCACCCCTGCTACGCATCGCCGAGCTCTTCAACGTCAACCACTTTATCGTCTCTCAGGCCCGGCCCTACCTCATCCCCTTTCTGCAGAGCGACATGCACGGGCCCTCGCTCCTCGAGACGCGCAGCAAGACAACCACGTCCGTCACGGCCTTTCTCGTCCGCATGGTCGGCCTCGAGCTTCGCCACCGCCTGCGCCAGCTCGACACGCTGCAGATGTTGCCGGCCAGCATCCGCCGCTTCCTCGTCGATGAGCGCGTCCCCGGCGCCGCCCTGACCCTCGTCCCCGAGGTCACGGCCGGCGACTTTGTGCGCCTGCTCGAGACGCCCACGCGCGAGACGCTCGACTACTGGATCCTCCGCGGCGAGCGCAGCGTCTGGCCCGCCGTCGCCGCGCTGCGCGTCCGTTGCGCTGTCGAGAACGAGCTCGACAGGTCCTACCAGAAGGTCAGGCGCTTCAAAGCTGGGGGCCTGCGGCGGAAGGGCTCCGTCGCCGGGCCGGGCAGCATGGAGAAGGAGGCTCTGGGCGGTGGGGGGAGGTAGCATGCGTAGCAATGCGAAACTTCCAGACGCAAGCGCTCGTTACCACAGAGTATACTGTGATATCCATGTCGAGGTATCTGATATGCGGACTGCCTGTGTGAGGCTCGTAGGGTCCTTTATCGTCGCCGCCCAGCGTCTCAACCTGGCAGTCGGTGTCTGTGAGTCTCGAAGACGTTGTCCTCTTGGCAGCCCAGCTAGGTTCGAATGCCGCCGCGGTGTGAGCGTCACATTGGCTTCGTACATGCTCACCCTAGAGTGCCGTTCGTGTCGACATTCGAAGAACCGGCGGCCTCGTGGCCAGCGCGACAGGTGCCGAGCCCACAGGCAAGTGTCGTCATGGCCTTATCCATCTACTCGGTGCTCGATCCCCTGTCACATGCATCAGATGTGCCCCTTACCACACTTCATAATGATATGCCTAACACTAAATGGCACCCGCAATGATGATAGCAAATTTATCATCATTAGCCGTGAGCATACTCATGGATCTATACAAGAAGGACATAGCCAAGATTACTATAGTAATGCCCATCTAAATTTCATAGTAGCCTGCTCATAATCGTGAATATTTTATTACTAGCTATGAGCATGCTGATAGAATAATACGAGAACAACATAGCTGAGGCTACTATAGTAATGCTCATCTATATTTTATAGTAGCCTGCTGATGACTATGAATATTCTATTACTAGCTATGAGCATACTCATAGAATAATATGAGAATAACATAGCTAAGATTACTATAGTAATGTTCACCCAGATTTCATAGTAACCTGCTAATGATTATAGATATTTTATTGTTAGCGATGAGCATGCTCACAGAATAATACGAGAACGACATAGCTGAGGCTACTATAGTAATGATCATCTATATTTCATAGTAGCTCGCTAATGATAGTAAATTTATTATCATTAGCTATGCGTATACCTATAGATCTGCATGCGAAGAACATAGCTGAGATCACTGTATCGATGATTATCTATATTCATCATGGTCTATTAACAAGGTTACTGCACTCAGCTTGAGGTCTACCTCTTCGAATATAATATCCATCTCGCTGGCTAATGTTGGCGCACGATCACAAACCAAGCCGAAATCGAGACGCATTGGTAAAGGTGCAGAGCCAGGGCCTAGAGCAACATCGAAACCGCTAGCTTGTGGTGGATTTGACGGGCCGTCTGGGCTGAGTTCGATCTCGAGATGCCACTCTTTTATGGGGCGTGCGGAAGCTCCTCCAGAGTCGTTGTGCGCACGACTTGTGGTTCCGATAGGTCCTTTTCAGACTTCAGTAACTAGCGTGTGCCCCTTGTTCATCCGTCTGAATATCTTGACGAGGATCATATACTTGACTCTGGTAAATGCCGGGTAACGCCACCATGAAGGCAACAATGGTGAATGGGCCCACACAGGCGCACATATGAGCCACGCAGACACTGAAAAGAAGTATATCGCTGAATGCTATGAAGAAACTCATCGAGAGGCTCAAAATCACCACCGAAATCCGGGATCCGACCAAAGATGGAATAGACACCTCGGCGCCGACAGAAGACGACCAGAACCATGACGTGACACAGCCACCCATCCCCAGACTTACATTCCTTCCCCACCCCTGCTTCGTCCCGTCGCAAAAGCTCTCTTACCGCCCGAATTCCAGGTGCGGCACAATCACTGGTCCGTACTTTGTCGGTGCCGTGAAGGCTCCGTCACCTTGGACGACAAAGTCAATGGCCAAACTCAATTTGTTGAGCCCCTGCTGCCCTCCGTTGATGACGGATCCAGCCGAGGAGAAGTTCGACGAGGCTACAGCCTCGGGATCGTAGGCTACGCAGGCAATATAGTTGCGACGGCCCATGAGCTTCTTCAGCTCGCGGGGGGAACCTGACGCATCGGTGTGGAAGATCTCCATCATGTCCTCCTTGGTGTCGGTCACCTCATGGTTAGACTTGTGGCCGTTCTGGGGCACGTAGAGAGACTTTTGGTTATGGAGCAGCTTGAGGATGTAGTTCTGAGCCGGTTGAGCTACGATAGGAGAGGTGATGACCTGGTACATTGTCTTGTGGTCGCTGGGGTGTGACGGGTCGTGGACGAGGCCGGCACCAGCGCAGCTGACATCTGATGAGAGTTAGCAGTGATCCATAGCGAATCAATATGTGCGTGAATTACCTCCAGACAAGAATGTCATGCGCACGCCCTTTTGCTGGGCAATGCCTTGCAAGGTTCGGATGAAATAGGTCCTCTCGAGGTCCTTGGTCTCGTGCGTCCACATGTCCTTGAGCACCTCAGCGAGATCGATCTCGCCGAATTGGTTCAGTACACTGCCCATGAGACCACCCTTTCCGACAGCCTTCTTCACCTGCGAGAAACCGGATGCGACGACTTCCTTGCCGCCGACTATACCAGCTACAGAGCTCGTCACCTTGCCAAGCACGTTGTAACCAGAGTTGACCACCTTTTTACCGGTTGTGACAGCTGTGGCCAAACTCTCCACTGCTTCCAAACGCGGATAAACAAGAGGTACAGACACCAGCCATATACAGTGCTGTACGCTGGGAGGCAATGTGGCGACCTTGGGAAAGATGCCCTGATATGTCGGGCCAGCCATTACGCGGCTCTGGTTTCTTTCCGACCGACAATCAGGTCCAACAACGACCACAGCCGGCCCAAGGTACTTGACAAAGTGCCAGCCTTGACCAGTGATAGTAAACAGGTCGAGATCGTTGCTGACGTTGCGGAGGATTTCAACAGTCGTGTGGTGCTGGAAGAGAAGATACATCTCAACGGCAATGCGGCCAACGTTCTTGAACATTTGCGACTCTTGCATATACGGGGGATATGATCCGTAGCCGTCAAAGCTGAGAAGGGTTAGGTCTAGCAAATGCAAGGAGGGGAAAGTAGTAGCTTACATATCGTGGTCGTCAACCTGCAGAACGTGAGGGATCTGGGCGAACGCCTCTCGCAAATACGGCTGGTCAAAGTGACTTGTGTAATAGTGAAAGTATGCGTGGGAGACATCTTCCTCGTGTCGTGCGGTCCAGGGTGCCTTCTTTCGGTTTTCCTTGCCGCTCATGGCGAGCCACTGCTTCAGCAACGGCACCTCTTTCCATAACCTGTCACCATAGATCTGATCACCCAGGCCAAGCTGAACATGGAAGCCTCCGCAGTCAATGTTCTTCTGGAGTACATCCTTCCACATGAAACCGACGCCACCGAGCTTCGCCCTCTCGGCTTGGTTGGTTGTTGCAGCAAAGTCATTGTTGGAATGAGCAATGAACCTCCAGCCCGTCTCATAACGGCCCGCAATGACGAATTCGTATCGCGTGCAGCCCAGGTGAGATGTGACGGCATACGTCCATCTCTGGGTGCCTCCTTCCCCCATTGGCAGCTCAATACTGTACTTGTAGAAGGACCATCGCTGGTGGGTGAAGATGTTGTGAGGCTGCAGTTGGCGCGGGTTCGGTGAAAGGTCCGCACTCAAATGCAGGTGAATCGTGGGTGGTTGAGGCGCATCTGTCACAATGAGAATGCTTCCCAGCCACAGCCCACGCTCGATATCCATGTTGCAGTAACGCAAATATGGCCCAAAATACACCCCATTCGTCGGCTGAATCTTGAACATGTCCACTCCGGCGCTCGGAGGCGGTCCAGAAAAGCCGGCAGCAGACGGTGTCTGAGAAGCAGCAACGCTCATGATGCTCTCAGCATATCCCGGCGTCTGCGGTGAGAACATGGGTGACGCCATGGGCTGTTTGCCAAACATCGGGGAAGCGAGAGGATTGCCATAGGTGGAAGCTGTCGGTGAGAGCGGGGCCGACTCATGGTGAATCGGGTTGGGACCCTTGGGAAACTCCCATTGCGTAGCCTGGCTCGCTAGGTGGATGTAGTAGTACTGACCCGAGTTCTGGTCGAGATGAGCGATCCAGCCCTCAGGAAGGGGAGGCGGCGAGCTCGGGCCGGCTCCTCCTTGGAAGCCAGGAGTCACTGGCGTTTGAGCTTGCACGGGCTGACCGTTTTGCAGCTGTTGAATTTGCGTTTGTTGATGCGGCTGCTGCTGTTGTGCCCGCTGCTGCTGCTGCTGCTGCTGAAGTTGTTGAGGTTGCTGCTCGAGAGGTCTAGGATCGTTGGCGAAAGCGGGATGCCCGGGATGTTGCAATGCGGGCGAGGCTAGCCCGGCCGCTTGAGGCCCGACGCTCGCGGGCTTCTTTGGGGGAGATTGCGCCGCACTGGACGAGGGAGCCGGCGTAGAGTTTGTACTTGTCGGTTGAGGGCGTTGCTTCTCGGCAGGGTACGCGTTGTTGCGGCCCGGGTTGACACTGGAGTATGCGGGCGGCGGGTCATTGTGACCAAGCCGCTGGAAGTCTTGCTCGAGGACGCTGACTTGCAGAGCCGGCTGGTCAGACTGGGCCGCTTGCTGGGGTGGCGGGCTGAAGGTAGGCTGGGTCGGACTCGCGACAGGGTTGGAGCCCTGGTACACGGTAGGAGGGCCATGGGGCTGGTTGTCGGGCGACTCGGTCGGCGTCCAAGGTCGCGCTGGGCCGCGGGGCGCACCGCCGTATTGCGCGAGTCTCTGGGAAGCCGCAGCGCTCTGAGCATGCTGAGCTTGCAGGCTGGTCAAGGTGGCGGTACCCGAGATGCCCGAGGCGGCGTAACGGGCCTCGATGCCTCCGCCGGGTATGACCCCAGGTTCGACAATCGGGGTCTCGGGCGGAGGAGGCGAGCCCCGGCTCGCACGGGTCGTCGACGTTGAGGCGGTTGAGGCAAAGCGGTTGACGCTGTTCTCGCTGCTAGGCATCCTCAGTCTCTCTGGGTCTTGCGCAGGGCGCCCGTGAGACAGGTTGGAAGAGGAGCCGGAGGAGCTGGTGGTAGAGCCAGGGGCGGGGTAGTATGGCTTCTTTGTGTAGCTCGGATAATTCGTCGTAGCAGCGACCGGCGCGTGCTGTTCAGACGGCTTCAAAGGCTTCGCAAACAAGCCACCTTCGTCACCATCAGGGCTGGCGGGATC